GGCCTCACTCAACAACATAAGCTTTTGCTCCGTGACTCTGTTGACCTCTGCTGCAACCTGTAGTGCAACCTGTGTATCCTGCTGTGCAAACTTTGTATCCAACTGTGCAAACCTTTTAGCCGTCTCAGATGCAAAGTAGAGTCTGTCCCCATCAGCTGCCGCCAATGTCTCCCCAACAACTGTATGTACTGTCTGCATTGCATACATCCCTGATCCTCGGCCCGCTGATTTACATATTGTACCTGTTGTACAGTGGCCCCCTGCTGATGTGGAGTCTCATGTATCACGGACTCCATAACATCACGGTCAAACCCGCTCAAAGCACACAATTCAATCAGATCTGGTTGTGTTGACAAAACAGGGTCTGGTAACAATGCATCTTCTAGGCTACAGGGGCCGTCTACATCGGCATCAGACTGTGCAGGAGCAATAGTCACAGGGGTATCGATACACCCATCATCAGCGCCAATACATTGATCAAACACAAACTGTACAATATCAAACGTCAATTCCGCGAGCGGCGAAACCGCGTCGTACTCACTGGTTGACGCTACGGGTAATTCAATCTCGGTCATGCGCTCCTCGACACCATGGTCCGCAAAATACGCTGAGGGTCCCTCGGTGATCTGTGTAGTAATATCCTCTGCTGTCTCCTCAGCGTGGATGAGCGCTTCCACTGTTGTACAGGATCACAACGGATCGACCCTGGTCGTAGTTCGTATGGCTGAGGCCTCTCAGTCAGCACCCTGATGAACAAAATGTTAGTTAGATATATATAAATATATGTATAAAAATACACAAGGGCACATTAAATAACTAATCTTTAATGAGTACATGCCTTGTAGTTTTCTCCCTAGATGGCTGGGTATCCACCGGTGCGTCGTTAATTTCTTCACACACATGAGGACCGTAAGATACACAAGGCTCCGCATATAAAGAGGAGCTTGCATATGGTTGCGGCCTCTCAGTCAAAACAATAGTTAAATATACATATATAAAAGAACTTGGTAAATTAAACTAGTCTTTAATGAACACATCATTTTGTTTTTTTTCATTTTTCGCTCCTCCGCAGGTTTTTCAGTCCTCTTGAACTTTAAGGATAATCTCTCGGGCTGGGGTGCGTTGATAGCTACAAGTATTTACAGGGCATGAAATGAATAGTCTCTTGTGGTAAAAGAACTAAATGGCTTTACAGACAAGGGTCTTTACTCACCAGTTTTCAATGTCGTGGGCTTCTGGATAGAAGAGGTCTTATGGCATTTTTTCACTGTGCCCCTGTTTGGTCAAGGAGACGATTGAAAATCGTCTGATGAATCTACAAGTATATACATTTGAAATAAATAGACGTAAAATAAAATGGAATAAAAGCATTTAAACCACAAAACTAAATACTTACCATACACTGGAGCAGGAGGCCTGTTTTCGGTATAGTCATCACTGATTTCTCCAAGAATGAGAAACTTTAAAAACAATCCTGATTTTAAGACACACAGAAATAATTAAAAGAAGAATAAACTACTCACTTGTTCACGAGGCATGGATATAGCGGTGCAAGACAACAAGTTCGAAGAAATGAGATGGATTCGTTCCAAAATAGCTTCTTGATAGGGGATAGAACGCTGTCAATCAGAATCAAATAGGCCGCATCGAAAAGGGGACGTGCGCGCGTGCGTCGTCTCCCGGCAAACCTGGAACTCCTTTAACAAGTTTACGTGACATTTCTGGTGTTTCTTTACTCTCTCTGGCATATAGATTTCATAGGTGACCTTCCCAATCCATCTTGTGACTTCATAAGTTCCATGCCACTTGGTCAAAAGCTTGCTGTCAGAAGTAGGAAGCAGTAACAGTACCTTTCCCCCCTGGTTCAAAAACACTTGCTTTTTGGTCATACCACTTCTTTTGGTTCTGTTGAGCCATCCTCATGGTCTCCTGGGCCAGTGCTGACATATCGGCCAACCTTTCTCTCATCTTGACTAAGTATGCCACCACATTCTCTCCTTTTGATGTAGCACTTTCCCAGTAGTCTTTCAGAAGGTTCAGTGGCCCTCTCACCTGGCGTCCATAAAGCAGTTCAAATGGTGAGAAGCCGGTTGAAGCCTGTGGCACCTCCCAGTAGGCAAAGAGCAGATAAGGCAGCCATTGGTCCCAATCAGCTCCTGTGCGGGACACAAACTTGCACAGCATGTTTTTCAGTGTCTGATTGTATCTTTCAATCAGCCTGTCCGTTTGGGGTGATAAGGGGTGGTCTTAATTATTTTTAATCCTAACAGCTGCTAGACCTGTTGTCGCAACCTAGACATAAAAGTTGTCCCACAGTCTGTCAGGACCTCTCTAGGTATGCCTACCCTGGAGAACAGCTGTAAAAGGCTTATATAGTCTGCCACTAACAAGGACCTCCACATCACTGTAAAATAGGTGACACAATCCCCTAATCTACAACAAATACATTAAAATGGATGCCTAACATGCTAAGGTCAATTATCTATATGATCTCTATTGTGGTAAGACATCACCATAGAGATCATATCCTGCCCGAACAGAGGATTCAATTTCCCTACCACCCCTCTAGTAATTACCACATGGTACCTTCCCGGAACTATAAAATGGTGCTCTTGTACTCTGGGGCCTCTTTTAGGATGAACACGCTGGAGAGGAGACACAGCAGAGGTAAGTGCTTTGAACATGCAGGTTATTTGACAGCGCTATTAATATATTCAATCATTTTAGTTAAAGATAACCAAACCAATAATATGTTTGTCTACAGGCCCGACCTTAAATTATTACTCCTGAGACATATCAGAACCTTACAATAAACATTCAACTCTGTGTGTGAGTCTCTCATTGTCTTGAACAGTCCACAAATGCCTGCAATGGAGAGGGTCCTTGTCACAGTTGCCTTTCTTAATGGCTATCTCATCTGCTTGTTTACTTATGACCGGGCGTCAAGGGACGATAGTAAATCTGTTGTGTTCACGTCAGTGTATACGTATGATGATGTTTCCTGATTAGGGTAAGATTACCCTTTAACAGAACGAATTGGCAAAGAAACGGCTCCAAAGTGATGTGTCCAGAACTTATGCAAATTACTCTGTTCCAACGCACTTGTATGTTATCCTCAGTATAAATATCAGACTCAGATACAGACCTCTGAGCAGCCTTGATACATGACCTGTATGTGTTTCAACTGTCTCCGCCTTGCAAGAATAAATGTCCTGTTTAATTATTTTTACATCGGCCTCGAGTGAATTTTTCTAACATGTTAAAAAGCACCTTACTTGTTTAAAGTGTTTGCAAACCAAATGTTGGTAAACTTTTGTTCATATAGCAGTACTTTTAAAATACAAGTGCGAAATGCACGACTTTTGAATTCATTATTGAACTTTGCGCCTAACAATGCGATTAATCGCAAAAAAAATCATGCGACTAAAAATTGCAATCGTTGCTGTGTGTGTGTGTGTGTGTGTGTGTGTCAAAGTGAACATCTTTTCTTCTACATAGTTGTCGTCATTGAGATGCCATAGGGCATCTCAATAAATCAACATGTTCTATTATATATGCGTTTTATATTATTAAAATGGGAGTGGACGTAAGAGTAAATCAAAGTATACAGGCGATAGACAGAGCCCTTGTTACTAATACTGACCTCTGTCCTATCAGATTTAGGAGTGAAGTTGGCAACTGTGGATCGGTGTTTCTCACAAACTGGCAAACTTGAAAGCATCTAAAAATATCCAATATGGAAGATTGTGTTTAGCCAGTGATTGACTAGACATGAGGCGTATTCCTTTTTTTTTTTTTGTTTTACATTTTCATTTCATGTATCCCTTACAGTACTCTGAGAAGAGGGCGTGAACTGATGCACTCCCTGTCACATGTTTTTTTTTCATTTATTTGGGAAGGTGGTCTTGGGAATTTTAACAATCAGAAGTGTACCTTAATTTACAAAAGGTTAAGGGCCCTGACCTAAAGGACTAGGTGGATGGATGACCACTGCGGACAAGGGCAGACTGCAGCGCATCATTCGCTCTGCTGAGAGCGTGATTGCGTCACTTATTTAAATGCACTCAACACTTTTACATTACACTTACTGTACATCTCACTTGTTTATAGTCCTGTTATCTGTTCGTTTGTGCACTTTATTTTATATTTCACTTTATTTTTTATTTTAGTTTTTATTTAACTACTTTTGGCACTGTTGATTGTTTAAGGTTATGCATCACCCATCATGTCAAATTCCTTATATGTGCAACATACCATGGCAAACGGTTCTGATTCTGACCGACAGATCCCATTAACATGGAATAAAGATTGATCAAGTAAAAACAGGTAACATTTATTTTACGTTTCGTTTATGAAAATGCTGTTCTAGAGCTATACAACTTATTGTCTGAAGGTAGATAGAAACTAATACTAATAACTGAGTATTAATAGTTACTATTAAGTACAGTGATCATGTGCACAGACAAACTTATCAAAAGTCTCTCCAGCTGTTAAAGCCGACTGACAGCTGATCCAGCTGTGATCAGCTGATCCTCCGTCATCAGAAACAGACGTCGCTTCACGTGACGCTTCAGGGGAAAGGTCGTCTCATATCTGTTAAAACATGTTTCCTCGTTTCCTCTCTCCTCGCATGGTTTCCTTGCGTCTCTCCATGCATCCCTGGTGAGAGGGACTAAGACGCAAGGAAAGGACCCAAGTGAGGGAAACGGGGATGCAATTAAGAGACTTGGGATGTACCCCATGTCGCTCATCACAGTAACCTCCCGTCAGTGTCTACAGTGGAAGCGGATACCGGGATCCAAGTCGAACCCACCAATGGAAACTCCTGGCTCATTCAGCAGCGTATGCCCCGCCCACTACATCCAAACTCAACTCGTAGGTTTTTAATTTGAAAACAAAGGTTTTTGATTTGCAGCCAAACATTCTAGTTAAGCAAAACGAACAAATCATTTATTCTCAGTTTATATATTTTTACTTACAAACTTGATTTTTGATTGCAGTGCGAGTCCCTGTGGTGAGGTCCCAAAACAATTATGCATGTGTCTCGACTGCAGCATCTGTCTCGTGAGGATTGCTGTGTTGCACGAGAGGTGAGTTACCGGTAGCACTCCTGTGTAGTCTGCCTCCCCACCAGTGGCCGCTACTTAAATCCCATGCACATGCTGCTTAGTTTATGTTGGATAGGACATTTTAAGATATTAGATTACAATGTAGTTTTAGAATTTTTAGTAAGGCCTTTTTTTAATATGTAGTAAATACTTATTTAAGATTGGTTCCGGTAAGTTTCCACACTGGCCACTAACCGGCCGTTGAAGTTTTCTGTCTCTAAACAGACATGTAGGGTATATCTGAAGCTCGCAGGGGGCAGTCTCGGGCTTTCCTTGATGTGTTGGCCTACTACCAGAGAAGAAGTCAATGGATTAGTCCCGGAAGTTTGGGTACGTATCATTCAAAATAATAGCTCAAAAGTTGTCATTCTTTAAAGTTGGTACATAATATGTTTATATAATCATCACACCCATTAAAAACTAATTGATGATATGTTACATTTGAAAATACCATCACATGTTTATTTTTTGACTGTAAGGTTATAGGTTGCATAGTAGGAGCAACATATAAGTGGGTTACAGGTAAATTACATACTGTGACTATTCCAGAAGGTACAGTCAAATCACCCAGTGCACACTTTTTTTTCTTAGCGCAGTAATGTATTTCCAAAAAACATTATCCCAAATATTTTCCAACATAAAAAATGCAGGCCCTCAAATTCAGCAGTACTGAACAAAAGTGAAATGTAAAGGGCATACCCAGCTCTTCCAATGCTGATTCATATTGTGTATAATTCCATAATGTATAGCTCCACAAGAACAACCATGTCATACCTAAATGGTATAGGAAGGAAAAGTGCTGCCACACACAAAGACAATTGGAGGAATACTTCGACACAGGTACCATCCACAAGTTGTTTTCAGGCCATCGCATGCTAGTGTTTTAACATCTGGCCCATTACTTCCACATAAATTGGGGAACATGTCTTTACACACCGCTGGTCGCCTGGCAACCTGACAGTGAGGAAAATAATCCCATAAATCACTGCTCCCATGCAAGCTAGTCTACAATGCATGTGTGCGCTCCTGCCATCCGGAAAGCAATACAGAATACAATATTTGAGAAAACGCTCATTGTTTCCTGCAAAATTGTATAATTCAATTAAAACAGACTGGATTCACCACTATTTATTTTGTTGTTGTATATACGAGTTTAAAGTGCTTTTTAAAAAACAGGCGGTTTCATGGCATGATCTAGTTTTTCCATTTGACGCTTTTATTCTGAAAATGCTCTTCCCGGAAATCCTGGTTCTGTTATTGCAGAGACTCGGAGCACAGCTGTTTTGAGCAGAGCAGTCTACATTCATGGTTCAGATAACACATTGCTGCTCTGGACGTTATCCTGACTACTCAGCGGTTCCTTCCCTGTCCTCTCGTCTCTTCACATCTTCGAGCGGCCTCGCGTTGCTCCTTTTCGGCAGCCGTCTCGTGCCGTGTTCTGCGCTCACGAGAGGATGGTTTTGTCAACATCACACCAAGTCGCTCTGGCGTTCACGGCCGTGCTTTTCACGTTCGTCGTCCTGCCCAGGATGTTCAGCAGCGGGACTGTGGCGAAGGAAACGAGAGTGGACCCCCGCTACAGCAAAAAAGGTAGGAAAGCTCACTTTAGTCGCAGAGGAAAAGGACACGGCAACATGGGTACTGTGCGCGTGTCCTTACACATGTCATTTTGCCTCGAGCGCACTTGTCGCTCCACTTTGCCTCAGCTAATGCGGGGACTAACAAGTGAAGATCACGAAAGAAGACCATATGCACAGTTTATGGTCGAGACAGAAGGGATTCTGTCCCGCACATCAGCGTGTGTGATTGTGCACCGGCGTCTATTAAAGGTGCAACGCTCCGTTAAACACAATTCAAGTGATGCAGGCCAGTAAAGTCGGTACCGACTTTGTGTCGACCGAATTGTTTTCAAATGTTCACATCTGTCTGTTAAATCAGCGCCATGATTTCAGCTAACAAGAAGTATACAGTGTGTCTTTTATGTTTTGTTAAATGCTCGCTGTACTTCCCACACTGGCAGTATCAAAGGGAGAGCCACACTCTGGGTAAAGGAATATCATATCTGGCGTGGGTTTGTTCCTTTCTGCCAGCTGTGACTCATCTGCGGCTTGATGTCCAACCTACAGCGACACAATAGATTTCAATTTATTTTGTACACCCCAAAATCACAAATCTGCCTCAGAGGGCTTTACAATCTGCACACAGGCAGGGGGACCTACTGGCCCCCCAATCCACCCAGGTCCAGAGCGCTGTTGTTTAGGTCTGGGTTGGACATTAGCTGGACTGAATCACACTTTTAAGGAGTAGAAATTACATTTCATTTCTTACCATGGGCCACCTTGACTCTAAAGTAATACTTAAAGACGTTATGTTGCACAAGGGGAATTATTTGTCCCCCTCCAAATTACCTCAACTATTCCCTTTTGATTTACAAATGTGTTGAGTAAATGTAAAATTGCAAGCTTCTTCCTTGATTCAGACATTTCACATATTTATTGGGCGAATACATCAACAGCTATTTATGTTAAGAAGCTGATAAACGATGCTCTGAGGAGCTGACGGACAAATGCAGTGTAAGGTGATAATTCTTTGTTGGTCACATTTGCACAATTGTTAACATCAAAATATTGATTGAAGCAGCAGCTTCATGTCTATACCTCACTGGGATCATTTGACTGAATGAAAGATGTAGAGATCTAATCATTATGGGTGCTATCGCTATGGTATAAATATTCATGTCAAAAAACATTTTGGTGTAACTTGCATTTGTGTATAACCTGTTATTGTTAACTTGTTATTAAAGGAAACACCAAGGTGGAACCAGGTCTTCTCAACATGATCACACAAATGTCACGGTCCTCTATGATGCATGATGATTTGTGTGAATGATAAAGCTGGATTTATATTTTCATCTTTTGTTTACTATTATGATAAAATGCATTCTCGGTGACTGTACACAATTGGTCACTTTCTCAATAAACAGTCCTTCAGTTCAGAGTATTTTGTCGAACCTCTTCTTTGAACTACCATTTGGTAAACGAGACGTTCCTGAGTGGCGTTTAAAATGGCAGCTCGGAAAAAAGCGGGGTTTATTTTGAAATGCCTGTCTTGAATGAGTCTAACGAACTAAACCAGGATTTGAAGTGTCTCTTAGCTCACGTTAAGTCTTAACTTTAACACGTGTACTAACCAGCACGTCCACAGTGCAGCAGTCAAGAGTCACCTTCAGGGGAACATTTTGTCTGCGTTTTAAGTGTGCAGATTGATTGTAGGACACTGATCATTGTTGTATTCGTAGCAGCAGGTCCGGGTGCAGTGAAGGGTCAGCCCGTCAACCCTAACGCCCCCGGTTCATCTCAGACCGCCGAGAACATGCAGCAGATGAAGAAGCTGATGGAGCAAGAGCTGAAGAGTGAAAAGTACAACCAGTACAAGTCCAACAGCAACAAGAGCTACGTGTTCACGCTGATGCCCCTCTACGCCATCGGAGTCGGAGTGTTTGCGGCCTACAAGTTTTTGAAGGTAAAGTAAAGACGCGTACATTGAGACAAGCTACAACTTTGAAAGAGCAAAAAATGCAGATATCACATCGTTCTTTTCAACTCTCAGATCAAGTCTGCAGACGACCAGGCGCAAAAGGACAAATTTGCAAAGGGAGCCAAAAAGTCAGTGGAGGCAGGTCTGTGTCGCGTGCGCTGGGCTTTCTATTTGCATATCCGTGTTATGTCTTCTGGTCAAACATATATTTGATTACCGTGAGTAATTCAGATATGGGGTTTCTTCTTGTGTGTTTTGCGTGCAGAGAACCAGCTGAGCGAGCTGGAACAAAGGCTAGCGCAGACGGAGAGGATGCTCAACTCCATCCTCACGCAGCTGGACCCGCTCACTAACTGGTGAATGATGATCGGTGTTAGTTTTCATGCGCTCTGGTCTCCACCATGCCTTGTGTACAGCTGCGGTTTTGAAACATGATCCCCACTTTACTGTCCCTTTTTTCTTTTAGCAGGCCTGTAGTATAAACCAGCATGTGTCATCATTCAGTATACCTTCAGTAGCTAGCGTAGCATAGAAGCCTTCAACCCCTCCAGGTAACAAGAGTCACTATTCCACAGCGTTTAACCAAGAGGAGCTCCAGATCCACCAAACCATTGCATGAGTCTATGGAGCAGAGTTCAGATCGTGGTCGGACCCTGGTCACAGCTGGCTGATGCTACGCTATGATTGGCCAGTCTGTGTTCGAGAGCCAGGACTTAGCGAAGGGTTAATTTGAGCTTCGGTGTCTTGCCCAAGCACACTTGGACAGGGATCTAAACCACCAACCTTCTCCACAGGCGCCCCATAAATGGCATAATAGTTATTCCAGTTTCTTTTCTCCTCCACTTAAAGGGCAGTGTTTGTTAGACCACATGCTCAGAGGAGCGCCTCTGAGATCGACGTGTTTTCACTTCTTATTTCTCTTCAGTGTGAAGTCCGTGGCCCAGGAGCAGAAGAACGAGATCATGTCTCAACTCCAGACCATCCGGCACCTGATGAAGAAGAGAGGAATGGACTGTCCCCCCCTGAACGGTGGGCTGACCGACTGTCTCCGAAGGAATTGATATTCACACGGTTACTTAGGCTCAATTGGCTCAGGAATCACAAACCTCCAATGTTCGCATGCGTACATGCAGGATGCTATCCGAGGGTGCGTTTTTCCAATGAAGACCCAAAACGGCAAACCCCAGGCCAGATAATAAGCTCTAGAACACACAGTCATGCTTCATGCCGCGGTCACAACGTGTGTTGGCGTGTTTGGTTGTGACGAACCACAATTTAAAATTCAAGTCGAGTGGCCACATTGAGACGCATCACTTCCAAACAAATAGTTTTGAATGTGATTTTACTCTCCCCGATGTGGTGGCAGTCTAATGTCTGACTCGCGTCCCATTAACTTTCCCTGTCTTACATTGAGCTCTGGGAGACATTGATCAAATCAAATGTCTCTGTACTTTATTGATAGATGGTGATATAATGTGAAAATATTATACGGTAGGGATGGCCATTGATACTTTCAGAAGACATTTATACAAAGTAGATGCACTAGAAACATCAGATAAAAATATATATTTGTATTGTATTTTGTATATATTTTTTGATAACGATGAAAACAAATTTGTACTATGCTGGACATTTAACACTTAAATATGAGCATGTCGGTGATCTCTGGTGGACAAATGATGGGATGGTCACACCGTCTCTAAATCACTGGCAACACCTTGTTACTTAATGTGACTCCATTATACACTGAACACAGTTATAAATGCATCGCTGTTATTTTCTCCCCTTATTTGTAAAAGATTTTCTTTGCATACAAAATGCTTATTTCTCTCCAAGCTTTGTGCACAAGTTTGTTTAAATCCACGTCAGTGAGCACTTCTCCTCTTGTCAAGATGATTCATCTCCATGGCCACAAATGTCTGTTTTTGTGAGACGTTGGTGTTTTAAAGGGTTAGTTTGGTTTCACCAAAGTCCCACTATCCCTTTAATTAGTTTGTGTCCGGCTCCTCTTTGTACTGTATCTTCACTTTGCCTCGCTTGTCTTCCAGAAGCGTCCTGCGAGCGTAACCTCGACGACCTCATCGAGTCACTCGGAGCCGGCGACGCCTCGGCAGCGGAAGCTCCTCTGGCGGACGAGCAGAGCTCTCCAGGGACAGCAGAGGCTGAACAAGTCTATCAGAAGCGTTTGGAAGACGAAGCCGCAACAGAAGGTGAAGAGGTGAAGGAGCTCGTACCAGAGGAGTCAGACGGGGAAGCGGAGGAAGATGGCAATGTGGAGGAGGAGGCGGAGGATAGAGAGGAGGAGGAGGACGACGAATTGGAGGACTCTGAGCTCAACGAGACAAACATTGGTGAGGCTGGAGCGAAGCAGCCGTCGTCCGGCCTCAGGCGACGCAACAGGCCTGACTGAACTCACGGCGGACTTCTGCACTGTGCAGAGATGTGACAGATTGATATTTATTACCTGAAAGGCTTTCATTCCAAAAAGCTGTCAGTATAATTACCAAAAACATATATTGCATTATAACCTAACAAGGAAAGCTCGCCAACACACAGGGCTTTATTTTCCTGTCACACTCCCAAGGACCAGCACCTACATGTGTGTGTTACATGTAACACATCACGCCAAAGTCTCCCATAGAAGAAGGCCATTAGTGATGGCTTTGTTGAAGCGCTGAGGCTTTAATGCCAGCTGCATTGAAAGCTCCGCTCCACTCTTTTTTTTTTTTTTTTTATTTTAATTAAATTTAATAAAAAATTTTGGTACCACATCAGTCGAGGTTCCAAGCGAGCCGTGGCGACACTGGAAGTAATCAGAATACTGCAGGCTGCTGACTGGTTAGAGAAAATCGTCACGGGACATCCTTCACAAACCTGCCATTTTTTTTAAATTGCCATGTTGCCGTCAATGGTGCCCACAATTTTTTTTTTTTTTGTGTTAATTAACATGACCCAATTTTTATTTATTTTTTTAAATTGGCTGCCCTCAAAACTACGCACACAACTAACAGAATGCAGAGGTTCCTCTGTTCGGTTACCGATGAAAGCATTCAGCAGTTTACGTATTGCGCGGTGTGTCGGCTGAGAATCCCGCCCACACTGAGGGTTTACTATCTGCAGTGGAAAACGAAATGGAGAAAAGGACCAGGTGCCTAAATATTGACCCCATCTCAACAGCTAGCGCATCACTGATCCTCCTCACCATTCAGGGAGCTCTTGTTCCCTGTATGGAAGCATCTGTATTTGCTTTATTTCCCACCACATTTATTCCGATTGTTCCTTTTTAATATGTCACTCATCCTCATAATAATACCGTGCAGTCCAGACATAATTGATTTGTAGCGGTGAGGGATGAGATTTTCATATTGCCCTCGCACAAAAAAACGTGCAAAAGGTCTGACGCACGCGTGACCGTGCAACAAATTGCCACCGCACTTGGTGCTTTTATAAATGGCAGTTTGTCATATTGGTTTAGGTTTGCACTTGCTTGAATGCCAAACGTGTATAATCTACATATGAGGTGGCGGTCGGTCGATACCACCAATGTTTTTGGCCTTTACCATTACATTTCTCACGGTGGACAACTTGTCCGATGTCACTGATAACAGTCATGACTGCGTTCCATTCAAATTCAGTTCAAGGACTGTCTTACTGGGACACTGTAATGGAACAAAACCACTGTTAATGTTATTAGTTCCCCGTGTGTTTCCTGCCATGAGAAGTGGTGATTCCACCATGATTAATGCCACAGGACATGAGCCTGGAGCTCTTTATAGACCCGGCTTCTCTGTTCTCATTGTTGCATCGTAACCCTGCACCATCCTGTGCTGCCTCCTGCTAGCGGGGATGAGACAATTGCAGAGTTGTTGCTTTCCTATTTTATTAATGCATAGTAATAGATGACTTTTTTATCACAGAGGGATGTTGCTGGATGTGATGAGCCTACTTTGACTCCAGAATATTCTAATGTACATAGAGGAAGTGTGAACTCGGGCTTGCGGCATGCTGCCTATACATCGAAACGTAGCTGCATGTCTTTTTCATTTTTTTTTTGGTGTCTAGACATTGTGACTGTATGGTGTTTTCATTTATTTATTCAATAAGTTGATCATTTGATCAACCAGAGAGACATTAACTCTCGTACCATTTTTCTACCGTTCTAATAGCTTTTGTGTGATTGTTTGTTGGATGCCGATATTGCGATAACGCAAATCAGAGCTTTCTATCAGTATGGCATGAAGTTGTAGAAGAAGAAGTTGGGGAACAGCGAAAATAAATTAATTTGACATTACGTGCGACATATAGCAAACAGTTGCTTTTTTTATACACACCGCAACATTAACATTCATTCGGAGTTGTGTTTCTGGACACTTGACAAATGTAAGTCCATTATATTGTATTACATTTAAGCTCTCCTCCCACTTCTGAGGTTTAGCTAACGCAAGCATTCAGCGCATTGCTAGTTGAGTAAATGTCGCTATATAATTCAGTGTGCTTTGTAGCACAAAGGCAGTAAACCTGCCGTTGTGCTACAAAGCACACTGTATATAATCCATCGGGCTTAATAATCATATTTATTCAGAAAGTTTGCCGCGCTTCTCCTCACAGCGTTGCCAACACCTGCGTAAAAAATACATCAAAACGTGCGGCCTGATCGGGAATTATGTGCTTTCTATTTTCTAGAGAGATTCGCCCAACGGTATAAAAATATAAAAAATAAATTATACAGATTTTCAATGTGTTTTTGAAATATGGAATGCACCCAGTAATATTTGTAAAATATGATATCTGCGCAAAAGATATGCTTTTCCTGCACGTCCCTCAGCTGGCTGAGGCGCTGGAGAATCTGCCCACAGGAGGCGGGTCTGTGAAGCAGTTTAGCCAATTGCTGATTAAAGATCCAATCAGCCAATCAGCGTCCTCAAATGGATTCAGCGATGGGCAGAATTCAGATCAGAGTCACACATCTCATCTGCTCCTCTATTTCAGAAACTGCAGATTCTTACTATTTATGACATCAATATTTCTCAAACTTGTGTTTTTATTTATAAGATACTTTTAGGTGAAG